CCTTGGTCTTGCGGTATACGAGCCAGCCCGTGGTAACACTCGCAACGAGACCAATGAAGATGGAAACGTAGGATAGGGCTTTTGTGCTGGGGTCCATTTTGCCTCCACTTTCGGCAATCTTCTCGAGTTGACTTCCGATGAATATGTGAAGCATCAGCTTTGGTGATACTATGGCTGTGGCTAGAGCGTAGGATGCCCAGTGTACTGTGGGGAAGGTTGCGACAGCGCCGTTGGAGATGGAGTATGGTAGCGGACATAAGCGGTACATGACGAGGAGTTTAAGGCCATCGTGTTTGAGGGTGAGGGAGAGGGCAGCGAAGCGCGTATCATTCGCTATGAGGCGGTGGACCATGGATTTGAGGAGGGTGCGCGAGAGGAGGAAGGATGCTGTGCTGCCGGCGACGGTCGCTGTCGCGGCTATGAACCAACTGGTATACTGTCAGATTGCATGTTGTAAATAACGTGTGAAGCATACCCGTTTGGAAAGCCATAGACAAAGCCGGCTATGGTGAGTAAACTCGAATAGCCAATCAATGGCGGAAATGATACGATGAAGATCAAGACCCAGAGGATCAGCCAGCCGGCCGTTACGTCTCTCCACTTCTTCGCGACGGGTAACAGAGCCCCGAATATGCGCTCGTTGTACACCAGGAACAGTATGCCACCGACTGCCAGCACCAAGTTCCCTACGAAGAACAGCACTTTCTGCAGGGGAGAAAGTTTGTTATATTGATCGAGGACTCGTCGCGAGAGTGTATCGTACTTGTCCATGGCGCGCTGCCGCCATGAGCTCTGTTGACTGTGGTGCGATGCGTTGCGCCGGAAGGTGGATGATTGCGGACGTCGACTCCATATTGGCGTCTGGCCTGTTTCCTCGTCGTCTAAAGGAAGCGCAAGAGCGCGGACATCATAGTCGCTCGCTGGCATGTTGATCGATGCCTCTATACGATACGGGGAGGTGCGCCTAACGGAGTGGCGCGGAACTATGCGGAGGTAAGAGGATGTGAATGCGGTAGGGAAGTGAATAGAAAGGCAATGGGAGATGCTAGCTGATACAACTGGAGACGGACATTCCGCGTGGTGGTAGTGGAGCGTCGGAGGCAGCTTTGGTGTGAGATGCTAATGCTAGTGTGGTGTGGGCGCTGTTGGAGAGCTCTGGGTTTCATCGTCATCCGGGCGGACGAACGCGGTGCATCCGCCATGGATCCGCCCTGCATTAGGCGATTAGATCAGATCGGCCCCGAGTTGAAAAGCAGTCTTGCTCGGCATGCGCGTGGGACAACTATAATTCGATGATTGCAAGTCAACCTAGCAAAAAACTGAACACCCTGGAGCCTACGTTGACGTTAGGTTACCCACTTTGCAGGTTTTTGTCGTGATGTAGTCCGCAGACCTGTTCAAGTTGTTTCGTGTATAAGGTGATTGCAGCATTGTATGCGCATATACTGTGTGTGACATGTGCTCTGGTCATGTTAGACAGCTCCGAGCAACCTACAACGTACTGCATCCATGGATGTTTCCGCGGACCCACACGACGCAAAGCACGTGATTACTCAGCCTCTCGCAGTCTGTGGCGCCCATAGCCCTATTCGAAGGTACTTGAGGCATATGTTGCAGCTTGTTTTTCCGCCGACGAATGCCATCGCAGCACTTCTTATCCAGCCCCAGTCGTCATCCTCGCTCAGCTGAGACTCACACGCACACGCACCGCATCACCACCCGCTCGAGGCTCCAGGGCCATGTAGGGCAGACCGGGAGCAAGTGCTGGAGATTACCGTTCCCGCTGTATGGTCGACGTTGCTGCACGGTGCAAGCATCCCCCACCCCTACGTAGTTGAGCCTAGTCCCTTGAGCTTCATTCGCGCTCGAGATCGCCCCAGGCATTCCATCACTCTGCCCGTTTTGGCGCACTTGGTGTGTCCTGCAGAAGAAGGCTGCGGGACTGGTTATTGTCCTTCGTTGCAGCTTCATTCCTCCTGTGACGCGCCGGTCGCTCCTCTGCCATTACCCGCAGTACTTGTAATCACCCCCGACGGCCTCCTGTCTCGACCTGGACCCCGACCTCTGACCTCTGACCTCACCCGTCCTGCGCGCCACACCCGAACACCCATCGCCCAGTATCCTTTGCCCGCTTGGAAGTAATCGCCATGGTCGCCGACGACTTGTACGAGAAGGCGCTGCCTGTGCTGCAGGACGAGGCCCTGGATGAGGAGGACAAGACGGACAAGCTCGAGGAGCTGATGCGCAAGGAGACCAACCTCACGGGCAAATCACTCGAGAACATCGTCCTGGACTGCCTCTGGCGCTATCGCGACGCCGGCAGCTCGTCCAGCTCTCCCCCCAGCCGCCATACCATCATCCGCCGGCCCTCGCCAGCTCCCTGGCAGGCCAATCGCGCCCCTACTCCTGTCAACGCCTCGCCGCGCATGGTACACCCTCCGCCGGGCTTCCCCATGCCACCGGGCTTCGCGCGCACAAAGTCGTCCACCGCGTCCCCCTTTACTTCCCCGCGACCCTCGCCTCGCCTTGCTTTTTCCACACCGCATATCCCCCACAGCCCCAGCCTGAGCGCATACCAGTTCAGCGAATGCGCAAGTCCCAACACCGAGTCGTATGGCGACCTCGATGGCCACTCCGTCGACTGGCTAGTCAACGATGACGCCGCGAGCACTGAGTCGTCTCTCCTGGGCGACGGCACGCTCAACGGTGCCGCGGCCGAATGGGTGCAGCCCCAGACCATGGACATGGGCCCATACGACATGCTGCGCTCGATCCTCAGGGATGACCGATCAGACGAAGAGCTGGAGAAGGTCTTGGAGGCCAATGGCTACGACCTCAGCGCCGCTCTCCTCGCACTAATGGGACAGCAACTCGACGTACAGCAACTCCCAACCACACCCTCCGAGCACCCAGGATACGTCATCGGGAAGTCTATGAGCCCGGCATTCAGACCTAGTACACCAGTGGGCCAGCAGAAGAGCAACATCGTGTGCAAGTACTTCCTGTCAACTGGACACTGCGCTCGAGCAGACTGCAGATTCAGCCATGACACCAGCAAGACGTTGTGCAAGTAGGTATATATACAGCTCTCTATGTAGTCCAGGCTAACACCCAATACAGATACTTCCTAAATGGAAATTGTCTAGCTGGCGATACATGTCTCTTCTCACATGACCCCTCTGCGCTCATGGCTCGTATGGCTGTATCGGACGTCCAAACTCCACCAATACCCAACTTCCAGATGTCCGATTATGAGTTCCCCACACTCCACTACAACGGCTCGCCCTTAGGCACCCCGTCCATAACCTCTGCCGCGACCTCTTTAGAACAGCTCTACGGTCTGACAGGTGGGGGCCCCACACGCCCTCCACCAGGACTGAGTCCTTTTGCAAACTTCACTCCCGGAGGCGGTAGTCGCCCGCAGTCAAGAACCGGCAGTCGCCAGACCTCGCGTGCCACCACACCTTCGGTCCTCGCAGTCGACGATAATGACGCTTTCCCTAGTCTGGGTTCCGCTGCTGCTGCTAAGACTGGAAAGCGTCACCACGGCAAGCGAGGTGGACATGGCCATCACAAAGATGCTCCAGGACCTAACAATCTTGCAGATGTCGTTCGCATGTCGCCCGTTCCGGCTCCTGCCACTCCGGCTCGTAAGGGATTGAGACCGACTAAAAGCTTCACAGGATCTCGCGAGAACAGTGTGGCTGCCCAGGCGATACCTGCTCCTCAGCACATCCCGTGGTTGGAGACTGGTGAGAAGGGCAATCAGGCATATCTCAAAGCTCGCGCCGAGGCCTTCAAGCATGGCAGTCTGCGCAACAAGTTTTTGCAGAGGTAAGAGGCATGCCTCGTCCTAAGACATTCCACCGCTAACATACAACAGCGCTGCTCAAGCTTGGAACCGCAGCGATTCGCGCGCGGCTAAAGCTCTTAGTCTTAGGGGGCAGAGTGAGAACAACCTGATGCGTGAAGCTCACCGTGAAGCTGCCCGTATCCTTTACGAAGATCGCAATAAGGACAGCGACGGCTCGAGAGAGCTGTATGTTGATCTTCACGGTACGTCGAGATAAATTGTGTGTTCATACCGAGACTAACATTACCCAGGTCTGCATCCAGATGAGTCAGTTTCGTATCTCGAAGGCATCCTTCTAAAGCACAGCTCTTCTTCGCGACCAGTCTACGCTATTACAGGAACAGGTCACCACTCCAAGAACGGCAAGGACAAAGTTGGCAAGGCTATTCGCGGCTTCCTCAACGAATGGCGCTATGCCTTCCGCGAATTCTCTGTCCCTGGTGACCGCAACAACGTAGGTGGCATTCTTGGTATCGACCCGAGTAGCTACGACAAGAGTGTGGCGGAACGGCCAAAGGAATCTGAATCGGATGGAGATAGCGCAAAGAAAGACACGAAGATTCGCATCATGAAGAGAGATGATGTAATAGATGCGCCGAAAGGACCGAAGCGTACTGCTTGATCTGATTGAGTGGAAGTGGGGTGTGCCCAGTAGGTAGCATGAAATAAGAAAGAGTTTACTTCATTAACTGTCTTCTGATCTGGTCTTCATTAAGGCGTTGCGGTTAATGTGTTGCCGCACCACGTTGAAAAGGAACCTTTGCAGGTGCGCTGCAGTCTACGTTGTTATCAGAACGGAAGTCAGCAAACTATTAACTTGATGCAGATTTCCAGGTTGTTTGCTTCTATTCACGTCTATAGGTGGTGTCCAGTCTATCCCTTGATGGGGTGGCGGAGATGTGCCAGCTCGGTGAAGCTGCTCGACTGAGGAAGCCACACCCAACCTCGTGCCTGCCTCTCTCGTCTGGACCCACCATCGCGTGGCGAATATCGCCTCTCATCTTACGGCGCACACAGCCAGTCATTCTCGTCACCTCTCATGTAGCGGTCAGCGTATTCTATCTGGCCTCACCGGCAACATCACCTACCCTCATCACCGCATCGTACTAGCTAACGCATTATCGTCACTGATCCGCATCCCCTTGCAATGGGTCCCAGAAGACCTAGTTCGGCGACAGATGTCGACTCACGTATGCCGTTCGCATCGGCGGAGGCACTGCTATGGGGGCCAGAGATGAAACAACAGCACGCCCACCTGCTCACGGAGATGCGAACACTTCAGAAGCATCATGAAGAATACGAAGCCCGCATCAGATCTACCGAACACGTTGCAGAGGCTGCCGAAGCTGCTACGTCGAGGGTCCGACACTTGGAGCAACAACTCGCAGCGATCGAAGCCGAAGATGACGACAAGGCTTTCGAGAAGTGGGCAGCAGGCGAGATGACACGCCTCGGCATCTTCGTCGACACGAACAAGCACGTCAGGCAGAAGCAGATCGAGCTGGACAGTGTTGTGTCTCATGCTATGGACGATCTCGACAAGCTCAAACATGTCCCTAGAGAACTGAAGGGTGTTCTTCGACGTCTTGATCTTCTCGAGACTGGTCGTAATCAAGACGCGCGTCGGATCACGAGTTTAGAGCAAGAAGTCACCCGGCTCAAATCTACGCGACAGGATCCCAACTCCAATTCTAACACCGCTGGCCCACAGACCGTTTCCAAGCCTCAGCATGGCATGCTGAGATCCATGACACCGTCTCAATTACTCAACGCCGGAACTTCAGAAGTAACAAGTGACACGGACGATGAAGACCTGATACTCATGCCTAGCTTTCCACGTGAAGATATTCAAGTACCCCGGAGTCCTGAGATGAGAGAAAGGTAAGAGCGGCCTTCGGAACGACCTTTTGTGACGCTAACGACTATTGCAGGGGACCAGTCGATACCTCTACTTCAGCTGTGCCTCCAGGTCGTCCGGTGAAGTCAGCAAGGCAGAGACTGATGCAGAGACCTTCGATCCACAACTCTATGTTGCCACATCCGGCAGACGAACAGAGACAAGTCCGTACGCCTGTTCCAAGGCCTATTCAACCAGTATACGCTGCTCCCGTTGCAACACAGCTGGTCCATCACAACCGCCCGACTCATCCTTCGGCCCCGGCTCCAATTCCAGCACCAGCTCCAGTGCCAATTCCTACGCGAAAGCCTCGCCCACGTGCCAGAGTCGCTCCACCTCCAACGCAGCTGACCGGCAACGCCATTACACGAAAGCGAAAGCAGCCTACGAAGGAGCCTCAGACCCAAAGGCTGACTCGCGCTCAAGCCAAGAAAATTCAAGAACAGGATGCTGAAGAGCGAAAGCCGCATGTAACAGGTAGCGAATCACTCCTCCCACCAACACAGTTGGTCGAGCCAGCTCTTTCATTGCGCAAGAAGCAAAAGACTGCCCATGATCAAGGATCAGACGATATTAAGACCAGATCCAGCACAGCGACACGTCCCACTGGCAGAGCTCCAGCAACCGCAAAGCGCAATGCTGCTGCAAATCAAAGCAGAAACACGGCGATTGAACCCACTCAGTTGGTCACGAGAAGTCCTGCCAAGTCGAATATACCAAAAACCACCACTTCACCTACTAAGAGGAGGAACCCCTCACCAGTTCGGCCGAGTGTTGCGAACGAACAGGGGAAAAAGTCCCTCGTTGTTATTTTACGCAGTCCACAGAAAGCGACACGGATTGAACGTAGTGAGAGCGATGATATGCAAACCACTGTGGCAGACAGAGCTAAGAAGTCACCCCGCAAAGCAGCAGCAGCGCCACTGTCACGTTTGAAGGCCATTCCTAAGCCTTCGAGCTCCCTAAGCCTTCGAGCTCGCGCAATACGGGCATTCGAGTTGAGCTAGCTGTTGGGTCTGGTACTAGAAAAAATCCTCTCAGGACAAAGCAAGAGGTATCGGAACTCGATGCTTTTTGGTATCAATCGGAAGCGAACGAGCCTCATTGATTGCCCTCGATTAGAGAACTGGCTCTATGTCTCGCTGAACTCGTACAACCCCTCGCGATCCGCAACTGGCACCTCCAAATTTGCTTCTCCGATATCTTTCCCATCCACCTTGAGCCCTGCACGCATAACGTCACCTGTCTTCACCGGGCCTACACCCTTCGGGGTTCCCGTAAGTACGATGTCGCCCTTCTCCAGTGTCATGACCCTGCTAATGTCGCTCAGCTGTCTTGGGATTCGGAAAAGCATCAGCTCAGTGTTGTCAGACTGCTTCATCTCGTTGTTGACTGAGAGCCAAAGGTGTGCTTTCTGTGGGTCTGGGATTCTGTTTTTCGCGATGAAGTTGCTGATGGGCATGAATGTGTCGAAGCCTTTTGCGATAGACCATGGGAGTCCTTTTCTTTTCGCCTCGTCCTGTACGTTACGAGCTGTCATATCGATGGCGAGAACGTAGCCTGAGTACTCAATGTTAGTCGGACGGATCTCGATATACTGTTACATTTGGCTGGATGTATGGCGTTCTTAGTACCTTCGATAGCATCCATAGCACCCTTCGTATCTTCAGGATGCAAATCCCGCAATGTCTTTCCCATGATGAGACCAAGCTCAACTTCATAGTGCATGTTTACACCACGTGGGCGTAGCACTGGGCCAGCGCCTGGCAGCAAGATAGACGACGGTGGCTTCAGAAAGAAGAAAGGCTGCTTAGGCGTAGCACTCGACAACTCCTTGATGTGGTCTGCATAGTTTCTGCCTATGCACATGACCTGTAACATGTTAGATTGCACGAAGAACGTCTTTGCCAAATGTCTTCCTTTCAAGGGTCCCAATCAACCTTCATAACACGTATGCCAGATAGACGGCACATGTCTTGACATGTGAGGTAAGTGAGCAACTCTACAACTGCGACCCTCACTTTGACGCTGCTTCTCAACCCTTTCTTCTTCTCTTAACCCGTTGGTAACGCGAACATTACACGAAATCACGTACCTTGCGGCAATTTGCCCTTATAGCTTGGATACTCGCCATAATGACAACCAACGAACGTATTCAAGACGACCCAAAAAATCAGGCAGAGATGATTGAAAGCAAAGGTCGCAAGCGGTCTTCGGCAAAGTACTTAGCCGGCAATTGACGGGGGGAGTTTTGATCTGGGCCCCTGCCCGCCACGGGGAGTTGGGAACCGAGATGTGGGGTGAACGTCAGAGCTTCCAGGCCACATGCATCCCACTTGCGCTCGCATCGCAGCGCGACCAAACTTCCAGCATTCTTCCACGCTGCATTACACATCTGTTACCAAACACGACCCAATAGGTTTCAGGTTTCTCGTCAGCAATCGCAGATATGGCGCAAACCCAAGGAAACACAATGCAACTCGCGGAAATACTATCTGACCTCGTCTCCCTGCGCGTCTGTGTACGTTGCCCTCCCTACACCAACACACCTGTATCCTTTCTAATCCAGATTCGCATGTAGGACCCCGCCGCAGCACTCGCCCTCGTATCCGCGCACTCGAACGCCTCTACCTCCACATCACCCCCATCTTCTCACGATGCCGCCGCAAAGACACCAATAACAGACCCAACAACGACAACAACGGTGGACGAGGAGCAAGACCCAGAGCTGAAGCGCGCAAAAGACCTGCTGAAATTTCACTACGAGGTCAAGGAGGCGCATAAGAGGGGAGAGTTGGGCAGAGGCTTGGAGGAAGCGAGGAGTTTGGTTAGGAAGGCTGTTGGGGGGTGAAGGACGTATGGATTGAGGATGAGATTACAAAATCATGAGTGCAAGCATAGAGAAGTGCTGGGAGGAGCCCAGCGCGAGAAGAGGGGACTTGGCGGCGAAGGTTAGGAGCGAGCCCTATCTGGGGTCAGGATCGACAGCAGAGCTTGTGTGGTGGGCATTGAGGAGACAGAATGGATGGGAACGCCAATACGGAGGAAGACATTGTGGTATCTACATACACGTCACTTCATGTCAGTAGTAACTTCTTGCGCGGAGTTGCGGTATACAGGAAAGAATCTGAACAGGAGACACCAGGTGCATCTCGTGTACTACAGTCTACATCGATAGATGGGAAGATCTTATTGAGGGCTCCAGGGAATCGTAGTCGTCTGGGCTACTTTTGTACCAACACAGCAACCTTCTTATTCGTGTTGTAGTCGGTAAAGAAGAGCATGCTACGATGAGTTTGATCTTTATCATGCACGGTATGTAGCAGAGAAGAGGCGTGACACGTGAATGAAGACAAGGGTAATGATGGCATTGAGGTACGAGTAGCATCTACATAGGGATAGGTAGTCAAAGCCAGGTAGAGGGAATTCTTAGGGAGACTTGAAGTTCACCACCGCGATCCAAATACCAATCTTCCAATTCACTTCAAGATCCCGCAGCCGCGAGCATGGCATCGGCAATGGCCTTGACGTCCTCACCAGCCTTCTTCTTTTGGCGAAGAAGCACCATTATAGGGACGGACTCCGGCGGTGCGCGCATCGCCGCGAGTAGCTTGACTTTGTCGCGTTTGCGGGTTTTGCTGGTGGATGTTAGTATGAGACTAAGGGTAGTGTAGTACAGCGATATCGGAGGAGGAGTCAGTGTACTCACGTGGCAGTAGTGGCTACGGAAGGGGCTGGTGCCTCTGTTTCTGCTACAGACGGTGCCGGTTCCGGCGCTGGCGCTTCCGGAGGCTGAGGAGGCAGGTCTTCGGTCTCTGCGGCAGTGTATGCAGGTGCTGCTTCCGGTTCGGGTGCTGCTTCTGCTGGTGCTTCTGGCTCTACTGCCCTAGACACCGGTGCGACCTCAGGTTCAGCCGCCAGTGCTGCCTCGGGCTCTTCCGCGACAGGTGGTGCAGGTGGAGGTTCTGTTGGTGCATCTGGAACTGGTTCAGATGGTGCCTCCGGTTCGGCTGCACTCTCGACAGGCGCGGGCGTAGGTTCAGGCTCGGCAGCTGGTGGTGGAGGCTCTACGGGTGCTGTCTCAACGGGCTCTGTAGCAGGCACCTGCAACGTTGGCTCCGCTTCTGGCTCAGGTTCTGGTGACGTAGCCTCCTCGGGTGTTTCAACTTTTGGCTCTGCAGCTGGTGGCTCTGTTGTCGGCTCCTCGGGGACAGGTTCAGGTGCAGGATCTGCCGAACGCTGGACTGGTGCAGGAGAAGCTTCGGGCTCTTCAACTGGAGGCTGTGCTGCTGGCTCTTCTGGCGCGGCGTCAGGTGTTGGTTCAGCGGCAGGTTCAGACGGCTTTTCTTCAGGGGGCTCCTCTACAGGCTCGGGAGGTTCGGTTGCAGCTTCAGGCTCTTCAGCTGGTGGGTCTGCTGCTGGTTCTTCGGGGGCAGCTTCAGGTTCTGTATCTGGCTCAGGTGCAGGATCTGCGGGAGGTTGATCCGGGGTAGGCGCAGCTTCAGGCTCAGCTTCAGGCTCAGCTGCAGGCTCTTCTGGGGTAGCTTCAGGTGCCTCTTCAGCGGGTCCATCAGTCTGAGCTTCACCAGGGCCCTCCTCTGGTGGATTGGGAGGAGGTTTGAAATCAAGTTCCGGTGGTTCTGGCTCATCATCTGGCTCAGGTGCAGCTGTATCGGTGTCTTCAGGATATGGGTTAGGAGGCGGTTCGACTGGCAGTGGTGGTATGGGCCTGCCATGATGTCCGGGCTTCGCAGGCTTGTGAGGACGTTTGGGCTTGGTATGCTTCTCGGGTTGCTCCACAAGAGGCACGTCCGAAGCCGCAGCTTGGCCCGCCATGACAAGTGCGGATGGAATTAATGATAGACGAGAGATGCTAAGGAGGAGCTATGAGAAGCAATTCGAGCGGTGAGATTGGACGCGGGAGAAAATGGTATGCTGGCCCAGGTAAGTGGATGGTTGTGGCCACATCCTATTTGATCGAGATAGCTTGACTCTGGAACGGAAAGAGAAGCCTTGACCCAAACATCTTGATCGAGTGACGGCAAGAGGAGATGCGTCAACACAGCAAGTACGCGTTCAACCTTTCCCAGCTTGAACTGCTGGGTTTAGCGATCGCGGCCACTGCATGATCGCTTTCGACACGGATATCGAGCTGGTCGAGATTGGCGAGTTCTACTATTTCCGGAGCTCTTACCCTGCCGACTTCGACGAGATAGTAGAGGAAGCTGGAGATTCAGGCGATTTGTCATCTACAACAGAGAGAGCAGGAGCCACCCAAAGACCCGCCTGAGCACAGCGGAGCCGCCTACTTCTTAAAGCCTTAGCTTGTGTTTTTATTCCTGATGGATGAATGGAGTCGATGCCGGAGCAGATACCTTTTAGGCGATGCGCTTTGTTATCGTTTCTGCGGTGGCTGTGCGACTGATGAGGGAGGTAGCTACTGCTGCTGAGCTGCTATTTGTTAACAAGCAGTTCTATGAGCTGCGCTGGATGAGACTGCGTCTCTATCTAGGCCAGCCGCTGCGGCAGTATCAGCGAGTCTTCCTTGAAGATGCCGCTGTGAGACATGAGGTCGTGTTATTATAAAACGTGCTTACTACGTTCCTAGTGTGCGACTCTCTGCCGGCGGTATCTTATATAGATATGCGGTCCGCGCTCTACCTCGAGACATGCAGCACACATCGCATCTTCAATCTTTGATGTTGTTCCAAGGTGAGTACAGTAGACTCATGGTACAATAGCAAGGCCTTGTATTTCGAGTGTACCACCTTGTTCAAGGAAAAATCTAAACACTGTAGAGCCTACATCAAAATGAAAACATGCAAAGTAGGTGACCCAACGTTAATGTAGGCTCTAGACCTGTTCGATTTTTTTCTTGTATGAGATGGTACGCTCGCAACAATGCAGTATATTGCCGCGGATCGCGGTCTGCAGTGTCTGAGTTCAAGATAAGATGTGGCAGGGAAGGCGTGAGGGTTGGGACGGGTGACGACAGCGTTAGCGTCGGTCGTACCTGCATGAACGACGTAATTCCCGGAGGTTGCCGCCAAGCCCGCAGATGGGCCCGCCCGAGCTCCAGCTTTCACTGTCGCGAACTCGTCTTCCCGCACACGCGTCACCCCATTATTCTTGCAACTGCACACTATCTCAAGACCTCAAAATGGCGCTCAGCATCGATCAGAAGCGCCTCAAGGCGACAAAGTTCCCTCCCGAGTTTGACAAGAAGGTCGACATCGAGAAAGTCAACATCGACCTGATGAAGAAGTGGATTGCTAACAGGATCACCACTATCCTCGGTGACGAAGACGACATTGTGGTCGAGACGTGCTACAATCTTATTGAGCAGAATCAATTTGTCAGTAACCCTCCAGTTGACACAACGGAATGTTTGCTGACGGACGCAGCCCAAAATCAAGGAAATCCAGATTCAGCTCACGGGCTTCCTCAACAAGGAGACGGCACCTTTCTGCAAAGAACTATGGGATCTCATGCTGAGTGCGCAGGATAGTCCCATGGGTGTGCCCCGAGAATTGCTCGAAGCGAAGAAAGCCGAATTGCAACAGGAGCAGGTAAGTTAGGTCGGAGGCTTGCTCATTTACCATTGCTGACAACTCATAGCTTTCCAAAGCCGCTGCCGATGCTCGTCGTGCCGAGGAACAAGCGCAGAACGCCATGATTGACTCGTTCCGTCAGAGCGAGCGTCCGGAACGACCCGAGCGTGGCCCTGAACGTGGCCGTGGCGGAGGAGGAGGACGATACCGTGGTAGTGATCGTAGGGGACGTGGGAGGGACTTTGACAGAGGACTTCCGCGTCGCGATCGCGACTCAAGATCACCACCGTATGTCCTTCGCATTTACACTGAAGATCAAGACTGCTGACATGTGACAGGAGACGAAGACCCTCCCCACCGAATCGCGAGCGCGATGTCTACATACCTGGAGGAGGTCGTGGTCGTGGACGTGGAGGCCGTCGCGACAGATCTCGCGAGCGTCGTCGCTCACCCTCGGGCAGTCGTTCTGCATCTCCACCAGCTCGTCGTACACGTCGCTCACCATCGTCAGAACCCTCTCGATCTCCACCACCACGACGTCGACCGCGGCGTTCTCCGTCAGCTGACCGCTCAAGATCTCCTCCTCGTCGTACGCGCCGTCGGTCTCCTTCCCGTAGCAAGTCTCCACCTGCAAGACGAAGGAGAGACCGGTCTCGAAGCCGGGACAGCAGGAGGCCGCCCAGGCCCATTTCGCGATCTAGTTCCCCACCAGTCAGAAACAAGTCGAGCTCACCAGCACCCAGGCTGCGATCACTTTCACGATCACGAACTCCTCCCCGCCGCCGGCGTCGCTCCCCATCGAGCTCTATGTCTATAAGCCCTGCACGACCGCGGCGGCGCAGACGTTCTACTTCCTCTGGGGCTGACTCAAACGGCTCTCGTGCCGACATTAAGAAGCGTAAACGATCCGTTAGCTCTAGCAGGTCACGTTCTCGCAGCAAAACCGGTAGGGCTAGACGTCGTGTCACTCGCTCACCCACAGGATCACCGGCTCGTGGAGAGGGTACTCCCAAGTCATAGGCTGCCTATAAGGACGCTCTCTGCAAGTTATGTTTGACAGGACCACGTTCTTCCTACGCAGAAGCGAAGCGGTGTTAGCGGTGCCGTCCAGTGAAGAGAGCATACGATCGATGCCAGCCCCCGCCCATGTACATCTGAAAAGCAAAGGAAAAGGCGACTATGATCGGTTCAATCGCTGCTTTCCATTAAAGGCTTGAGTCACGTCCTTGCCCACGCGCCATGGAGGACCTCAAAACATGATGACATGGATGGATAGAGAATGTCTGTACCGCAACTACGCCCATTAATATTCCGATGGTTATTTGTACTCTAGACCGTTTTACAACTCGCAACCCTGAGCATTCTATCTCAATGTCATAAAGCATTCATCCCCAATTCCCCTTCTACTACGTCCCTGACATCAATGCGATGTATCGCATACTTCTTCGCGGCTCTAGTGTTGTAGCATGGGCGAAGTATACAGAATAAGCTACCCGCGATAGAAACCGCAGTAGAAATCCATGTAGTTCGCAGTCTCTTCTATGGTATAAGGAATAACGTCGGTTACGTTCCTATGGCATATGCGGCTTTCGCGTAGATACTAGTATACGGCTTCTCGGCGCGATATATGTCTCGGGCTTCCGTGTGGCGCTGTGACACAGTAACGCACGCGTGGAGGGCCGGCAGCGGAGGTACAAGGTGTGACCTGTGATCCGGTACTTTTCCATGGCCTTGCCATGTGGCCTTCCGAGCGGAAGCTTAGTGCCTTCAAGGGTCGTCGGCGCGGGGTGAGGTTCGTAGTCTTTTGCAGAAGTTCAGTCATCAAAACCTCATTTCGCAGCCTCATCCTTTGCGCCGTTTGCACTGTGCAGCCACGACACTAATGTCGTCAAGCTTTCCTAGAATGATGTCAGCAGAGAACTCGACCATGTAGCTAGCTGTACGGACCTCCTTCAATAGACAAGCCCTCATCAATCGCCTTCTCCATATACGGACTCTCGGCAAACGGATCTTGAGCAATCTCTCTCGCAGCATTAACCAGCTGCTGCGCTACGAATTGCATGCCATCAGCATAAGTCTGGTCTTCTGTGTCTTTCTCCTTGTCTCCGTTCCACTTCTCCATGCTCTCGCAGATGTTCTCTACGATTTCATGTTCCCACAGGTTATCTACTACGCCATCCGACATTGCTAGGACGACATCTTCTTCCTGGATTTCTACACAATCCATGGCTGCGTTGTTGTCCGGAGTGTCTGGACTATTAGTCCCTAACTGCCGTGGACAATCGAACCAGTGCCACTGCTCCTGCGTTTTGTATATGACCTCCTTGCTACTCGGTCGTATGACGAGGATCTGGGAATCGCCTAGTTGCGTTACGTAGAGTAAGGGGTGGTCGGGTTGCTCGTTATCCGCACCGAGGAGTGCTCCGCAGGCGGTGGTCGTGCCGTGCCATTCGTTGGGCGAGGAGGTCGCTTGCTTTGTGAGTTCGTATGCGGTCTGGAGGTATGTGACGGGGTTTGGAGGTGAGGTGGAGGAGTAGGATGCGCTCTCGATTTCGAGGGACCAGAAATGGGCGATTAGGCGGGACCATAGACTGCAGAGTATGGTTAGTACTTGTACGTCTTCAAGCGACCGGGTGGCACGCGACTTACGCAGCATGACCCTTTTCTCTTGTTGCCCATGCGCCCACGCCGTCGTTTGCTGCAATGAAGCTCTCACTGACTAGCACCGCATCGTCCCCGTTTGTGACGCCTCTTATCATCTGCCCATTGACTGTCGGTCGGCGATCGCGACTCTTGTTGTGCGTACTCAGGGGCTCAGAGAAACTCGTCGAAGGCAGCGACAGGAAAGGCGGAGGAAACGGCCGCGAAGGCCTCTTTGCGAAGAGCGCATATCCAGCCTCGAAGTAGAAAGGCAACTTGGACTTGGGTGGCTCAGCGTTATCGGGAACCGGTGTAGTCGTGCCAGCGCCCGTTTGCGCTTTGGACGCTTGCTGAGAATACCATCTCGAACGTTGCGGGAAGACGATTACTGGCGACTTTCGTTGTGCTAGTCTCCAGGCTTGTGATAGTTGGTGCTGGAGGAGGGGTCTACTGCGCATGCGAAAGGAAGGTGCGAGCATGCCAGCGATGGAGTATGCAGAGAAAGAAAAAGTTCTGTTGAGGACTTTTGCGTCCAGAAATGTTCAACCCAAAAAACCATGCGGAGCCGTCGCTCTACCTTCCGGTGTGTGGGGAACCCGAGAATGCGGTTTGCGCATGGCGACCATGGATCGGGAATGAGAGAACATGAGTCAGCAAGTGGTATTGCCGTCTACCATGACGTGTGGGGGAGTCGAAGGTTCACCTCGCGCGAGAAACGGCCATATAAAGATTAAGGAGATTTAACATAGTCGAGTAAGGTTGCGCAGTCATGATCTACGGGACATGGTCTTGTACGCGTTTCTACGTATTAGTGCAGCGTAGACAGGCTAGATCATCGCTACCTAGGTACCTCTGGCGCTGTCGCGAAAGCCGGATAGGCCTGTGTTTCGCAAGCACGTAACTTAAGATTTTTCTAAAGATCATGTGTGGCTTTGCCTGCTACTTCGATTATGTACGTTTTTCTGCTTCTATTTCGAGCTGGAGGGCGCAACGAGATGCGAATCCAGCTTTCGCGACATGACTAAAGGCTACGTAGGTACAGTCTGCCTACCATCTCGCACATGCAAGTGCGTGGATGACTGTTTTAACAAGGACCAGTGTCCTTCAAGCCGTGTTGAATTGAGCTTCCATAGCATTGCCATAGGGTATACCAGATAAACGCCTGCCAATGCATCCTGTGAGGTTATTCCATTGCCCATCACCGAGCATCCCAAGCCATCTTACGCCCTCCTTTTCGCAAAGTTCTCCAGATCCGCCCGTGTGGCCACGCCCAGGACGAACTTCCTGCTCGCGTCTGTCACTACCGCAAACTCCTGCTTCCCACTTCCGTCTACCCCGCCGGCGAAGAACTCCTCGAGCTCTTCCAGAGGCGTCTCGGTGGTGATGACCTTGTATCGCCTGCCGCGACGTTGGAACTTGTGCATGGCAGCCTCAACTGGGTCGCTGTCCTGGACTTTACCCTCTTTGAGGAGTTGCTGGAGATGCGGGATGCTGATGTAGCCGAGTAGGGCGCGGTTCGTTTGCGAGATGACTGTGAGGTGTGTGTAGTCGCGCTCAAGACCGGACATGAGCGCCCATGATATGGGGTCCGAGGGCTGAATGGACAGCGCAGGCGGGGGGTCAAGGTCTTCTACGGTGGCCTGCGGGTCGTTAGACCTGGCATGCTGGGTAATCGAGCATACATACACCACGGTATTTGTCCGCCCATAGTGCTTGGTAGTCGCTGGTAGAGGTGCCGTTGGCGGTGGGCGCTTCAGCTGCCATTATTCTGGTGGGAAGATATTGCGGGGATGTTTGTTACGCAACTTTCAGAGGAAAGCTAGGGATGCAGATCGCCGGGTCGTCGATTGCCTCGCGCTAGTAATTGCAGCATGCGCGGACCGGGCTCTAGCGGGTAAGGCTTTTGCAGTACCTGTGTGTGTTTCAGAACGTATGACAGACGTTCTAGCCGGCCTGCAAGCACCTGCGTAAGCCTACCCAGGTACGGCCGCAGGTATCCTGATTGCACCCTCGACATTGCCGTCTGATCGTCCCGACTAATCCGCTTTCCATGCTACATCCTTCACGTGTCAGCTTGGTCTTCGTGACCAGATTGGACTTTCAGACTGTGGCTCTTCTTAGGGCACACATGGTTTTGCAGCGCTTAAAGGTACACGTGATGGGCGGTCCACTAGCGACAACCACAGGTCTCGCTCGTGGGAGCCGCCCGCTTCGAACACCATCAACGCCCTCACATCGCGAGCAAGTCCATGTCTTGCATCATTCATGTGCAGATTTCGCATATCCGCTCTGTACTCTTAATATTTATGTACCGCACGACGACCACACGATGGCACTACCAGCGCACCACTGCCCCTCGATCGCCCACGTAAACCGGTCGGACGAACGACAATCGCATACATCGCACTAGTAACCACATCGGACGAAGGCATTGATGGATATGGCGACCGCATGGCTGAGGCCTCGATGCTGGCCTGGTGCTGGCCCCCGTGCCTTGGCTCTGTGAAAGCCGCTTTGACGAGGCCTCTTGTCGGGGCGCTTTATGTTCGGAGGTCGCGACAACCATCATGATCATCATCATCGCATACCACAACAGGGGACATTTTCGTATTGGGTCTCTCGGCATTGCTTCGCACATGTCCAAAAAAGGAATACTGTCGGCGACTGAATTATTCGAGGCGATGGAAAGCAAGCCATCTTGCTTCACAGCATTTGCACGATATCGGATCACCAGACAATGGTCAAATATGGGTCTACACCTAGAAGCGATATACAACCGTGTTACCGCCGTGGGCATTACACAAGAGACGGCAGATGCAGGCTTATCGATAATCACGCGGATACGGGCGGCCACCCCCGTCTCGGACCATGACAATCTGGGGAAGCCTTCCACCTAGGAGGGACCATTCTCAATCCTGGCTGAAGATACTACTGACCCTGTGTCTTGTTCTAGGACATCTGTCATGCGTAACAGATATGCATCCCTGGTTCATCCCCGGGTTCTACAAGTGATCCAGACAGTACGGGAGCATGGCCAATTCTAGGTTCCGTGTGGTTTCGAATACCGCTGTCGAGGCTTATGATTTTGGCCATTAGCACGTCCATGATTGCGCTCTTGTCCCGTATTTGAGTTGGTTACAGATCCTCTCCGATGCATACTTTCCCTGCATATCGTACGCAGAGTCCCACTGCTGTTATCTTTCCAATTCTGTACAGAGCATCTTCGTTTTCATTACGCCTTCACTCACTCGAGAAAGACACGTCTGATAATTCGGTAAAGAGATGGAACTTGTGCGATCTGTACAGGGATACAGTGACGTATGAACCGGCCTGTATGGAAGTACGCAGCCAGGTTAACGAGTTCATAATGCCCTAGAAGTAGATCCGAGGAACAGCAAAGCTTCACTCATCATGGGGCTGACACAGCATGATGGTCGGTCTTTAGAGGTGGGGTTTACTGATATCATCTATCATACTACAAGGTCTTTCTGGGGCCTTGGAGACGTCGCGGTGTACTTCATCAAGGCAGATGTACCAAACTTCCATAACGCCAGCTTGACTGCGAGCTCAAATCCTGGCCATCTCATCCAATCAAGGTAACGTATTCATCTGCACCCAATTCTGACTGCGCAGCTAGAGCTGTCGCGCAGGATAGAGGTCGCGAAGGCATAGGGGACAATGGAGCTGGCAGGGTCGTTGGCTTTGTCTCGATGGTAAGATCCGGAATTTTGGTAAAGTGCAGGCTAGACTACGGTGAGTGTTTCTTTGTTTTATCTAAATTCAACCATACTTAAGCTGACGATGTTCTAGTAGTAACCGAAATGCAAAATACCCTGACAAGCCTACCCTGAGCACGTCCAAAACCCCGCAGCTCAGCGTTCTCACTTGGTGCCACGCAACTTAGCCGCTCATATCTCACCATCGTCGCAATACGGGCGTCATCTTCTAGCGACGAGCACACTGACCTCACAGAACGAGAAAGAGCTGGGAAAGGTGGTCTCAACAAGTGTCGCTGCCATCGGCCTGCGCTCTTACCTGGAGGGATTCGTCTAGCTCGTCAGTGGCGGCTTCTCAGTCACAGCCGATCGACCGCTCACCGTAGCCCAACAAAGCGAGAAAGGCATAATCGAAAGAGCTGCGCCGACGTGGAAAAACCGTCACTTTCGCATCATCAGCAAGCTTCGTGCACAAGTATCAGAACAGTGGGTTTGCTTGGCCGGAGGCGCGGCTGCTCTCAGGGCTGTACTCCTGCACGGACCCAAGTCATCGCATCGCGCGAAACCTCCCACGACGCAGCAAACACGCCACACTTGCTGCAACATTACCAAAACTTCACCGGTGCCTAAACGAACGAATCCCAATTACCTCGCGCTTTTTCGAACGCGATAGCTCGTGTGGTGCGTGCAGGCCGAAGAACGTCACGTGCTGCGCCTGGCGTCGCTGGAAAGTTCAAGAGTTGCGTCTCCGATCTCTTCTTTCTTGCCCTCCCCACACCACCACAATACGACCCAACCACCTCACCCACCGCGCACCATCGATTTACCCGGTCGACCATCAATCACGCGACACTGCCATCGCGCCCGACACATCGACGAGGTAATTCGCGAATCTGCGCCTCCCTTACGCGTCGACACGACATCGTACAAGCGTGAGCTCGACTCGCACAATGGCGGACGAGGCCAACCCACCCGTGTCTGCGGACACCACCAACACTGCTGAGTTGCCGACGCGTTCTTCAGACGCTGTTGCAGAGCCTGCTGTCGCTGAGGCCAAGCCGGCTGAGGACGGTGTCATAGCCACCTCAGGTGTCGCCGAAGGTAACCAATAGCCTGCTCGTAAAATCTACAGGGCGCAGTAGCTAACGCGATCGCGAACTAGTTCCCGAAGACGACGCTGCTCAAAAAGACGATGCCGCGAAGGAAGACGTCACTGCTGACGCGCAGGCAGAGCCAACCACGGCCAGCGACGACGCAGGTAAGTCCAGCCATGCTTGATTTCGAGCCTCGGGCTACCAGCGTATTACAATCGCGTACTAACCTATTATCTCAGATGCCGCCCCTGCCTCCGACGCGCGAGCAACGAATGGCACTCCAGCACCGAAGAAGGCTGCCAACGGCAAGCGCAAATCAGGCGCAGGTGTCCCCGAGCACAAGAAGAAGACACCGGCTAAGAAGGGAAAGAAGCCGCCCCCGGAGCTGCGTTTGAATGTCTCGCCTGGTGACATGTTCATGGTCGCCATGCGGGGTTACCAGCCATGGCCAGTCATTGTTTGCGATGAACAAATGCTCCCAGAGTCGCTGCTTAGCAAACGTCCTGTCAGTGCTAAGCGCATTGACGGTACATATCGCGAAGACTTTCTCGAGGGCGGCAAAAACGCTAAGGATCGGAGGTACCCGGTCATGTTCCTGGGCACCAACGAATTCGCATGGCAGGTCAACACTGAGCTGTTATCATTCGACATCGAGGAGGTGAAGAAGGACGTGGAGTCCAGCAACCAAGGCAAGAAGAACAAGCAGCTCTGGGAAGCGTATCAAATCGCGGCTGAGGGTCACGATCTGGCACACTTCAAGGAGATGCTGGCTGCCCACGAATCTGCGATGCAAGAAGACGTGGAGCAGAAGGAGCAAAAGAAGAAGGAGAAGGCTGAGAAGTCAGCCAAGCGTAAAAGCACAGCCCCTGACGACTCAGAAGACGTTGAGATGGGAGAAGCTGGCGACGATGCTGCCCCTGCAAAGAAGGCGAAGGCCACTAAGAAGCGCAAGAAGGATGATCAGAGCGATGGCGAGAACGAGAAGGTATGCACCGCATAGACCCGTCGACTTATGCACTCTAATTTGCTTACAGGCTGTAAAGACTCCCAAGATCAAGTTGACGACTGGCAAGACACCAAAGGCCGCATCGGCCGCGAAACCCAAGAAGGAGCCCAAGTCTAAGAAGAAAGCGAGTGAGGAAGCTGCGCCCGAAACACCAGAGGAGGCTCCTATGACTGAAGAGGAGCGACTAGTGAAGCGCGAGAAGCAAGTTCTCTACCTCCGTCATCGCTTGCAAAAAGGCTTCCTCTCGCGCGACCAGAAACCAAAAGACGAGGACATGACGAGCATGGACGAGTACCTGAAGCAGCTTGAGGCTCACGAGGATCTGGAGGCCGATGTCATAAGGAAGACCAAGGTGCACAAGGTACTGAGGGCAATTCAGAAGCTTGAAACTATTCCGATGGAGGACGAGTACCACTTCAAGCAGCGCTCCAGTGATCTTCTCTCCAAGTGGACCCCTGCTCTGGCGTCTGAGCCTGAGGCTGTTGCTGCCAACGGCGTCAAGAGCGAAGATCGGGAGAAGTCTGAGTCTGCCAAAGACGAGGCGCCGTCTGCGGAGAAGACCACAGAGGAAGATAAGAAGGACGATGCTAATACCGATGCCGCCGTTACCAAGACCGCTGACGAGGATGGCGATGTGCAAATGTCGGAAGCCGACAAAGAGGTCATCAAGGATGCGCCTGCAGCGCAAGAAGAGGCTGAAAAGAGCGCAGAAGGCGTCGAGAAGGCGACTGCTGAGCCTGAGACTGCTGCTGCTGCGGCAACGGATGATGCGTCCACCTAAACGCGGCGCGCTCATGAGCAATGAGCAAGGAACTGGCGTCTTCGGCTCGGTTGCGGTTGTCTTTCTGCAGTAACCTGACTGCAATACTGAAGCGCAACGGCTTGCGATGGTTGGTACGAGCATGCCTTAGCAAAACGCGTTCGGCTATCTCTACAGCTGGCGCACCAGCTTTCGTACTTGGACGATAGGGTCATCCGTGCATATACATATAGTGCTGAACAAGCAGGGTTATTGGGGTCCGATGAGAAGACGCGGGCTTATTCTTTGCGACATGCGCCTTCTTTCATAGGTTCTCGGAGATTAGTGAGCTTTAGCGGAGTAAGAGACTGTCTTAGCAATCAATAACACTTGGAATTATCTCTTGAACATGCCGCTGCTGTTTTTGACAGTGATCACATTGACTACTCTTCAAATCTTTGTTCTCTCCGCGCATGTATCATGGTAATGTGTGGCGCGCGCATCGCGTGGAGCAATGGATGCCCCGCTATCATTATGACGTACTCTTCGCGCGTTGAGCTCCATAACAAAACCATAGCCGCGCAAAGCTCCTCGCAGCTATTAACAACAATCGAGACTCGATACTTTTTGTCGTACAAACACTCAATACATCAATCAACACCCTGAACACTATTTCAAGATGGCCAGCGCAACTAGAAAAGACCTACTCAAGAAGGTCTACAACATGGTACCGCCCATGCTCGAGAGCTTTCACAAAGGTAAGGAATGATCTATGATACTAGCCTCCAACATGGATTCTAATGCATTTGAACAGGTCAATTGGGTCGTGTAGCTGTCATTGGTGGCAGTGAAGACTACACTGGTGCGCCTTACTTTTCTGCTATGGCATCCGCAAAGCTAGGTTGCGACATGGTAGGAACATCCAGATCAAGCCATATCAGACAACGTACTCACCTGGCTGCAGTCCCATGTAATTTGCGAACCCGGCGCCGGTGCGGTAATCAAGACATACTCTCCCAACCTCATGGTACACCCATACATGCGTCAATCGAAGAACCTCGCCAAGTCCGAGAGCGCAGACAGCATCACCTCGGAAGTAGTAGCCATGCTATCACGTCTCCACGTCATTGTCATTGGTCCTGGTCTTGGTCGCGATGAACTCATGCAAGAAACCTGCGCACAGGTCATCCAAGAGGCAAGAAAACAGGGCATTCCATTTGTGCTGGACGCCGACGGTCTCTACCTCGCGCAGACAAGGCCGGAACTCGTGGACGGCTGCACTGAATGCATTCTCACACCCAACGTTGTCGAGTTCGCAAGGCTAGCCAAGGCCAAGGGCGTAAATGTCGACGAAGGCGATCCCTCAGAGCTGTGCGCCAAGCTGTCAAAGGCATTCGGCGGTGTCACCATCATTCAGAAGGGTGCCAAGGACTACATCTCCAACGGTTCGCATACACTCGTGTCCGAGGGCGAGGGTGGTCTGAAGCGCTCTGGTGGCCAGGGTGACACTCTCACCGGCAGTCTGGCGACCCTGTTGGCATACAGGAAAGCATACCACGACAAGATCTGGGATATCGGTACCGAGATGTCGAGGAGCGAGACGCTTGCTCTTGCGGCGTATGGTGGATCATGCATCACTAGGGAGTGCTCGAAGCTGGCGTTCAAGGAGAAGGGCAGGTCGCTGCAAGCCAGTGACTTGACTGGCCATGTACACACTGCCTTCCTCAACGTCATTGGCGAGAGGGAAGAGACTCCCATGTTGTGAGCTGTAGATGGTTCCGTGCGCGATGATAAAAGTAAGTGTCTACGGCAAAGCATATCTAGTGTCAAAGACTGGCGTTAATACATAAGTAAATGTAATGATTTGTAGAAATACATGTTTTCGGCCGTGTTGTCTCGCGCCTTTGAGCAACGTAGTGGCCTACTAGCCGAGTATATAAGGCTGCTTAACTCTCACACGATTTGCTAGCTATTGTCGATGAACAGGCAATCTGCTAACAACTATGTCTACATGTGCTGGGCGCGGGCGTAAGATCGCAGGGCAAGACTCCCGCGGTATGAAAGGGTTTTCCGATACGACACATTGTGATAGGCAAGATAGGCTTCGATGAGAGGAATTGACACAAGATGATGGCAGAAATGTATCCTATCACCTGTGCACAGGATTTTCCTCCAACGAATCAAAAGTATACGCGATGATATTACATAGACAAACGTATTGTACTCTACAGAGCAATACCTATATAATCAACATGCAAGTAGGCTGCTAAGACAAAGTAGTTATTTGCAACCCCCAGTATCGTGAATATTCACTCAAAGCTACCCAGGTAGACACTACAGAAAACACAGCTCACAAACGATACCTCACAAAACGTCACACGGTTCAAGGAAGATGCCATGAGCGCATGCGTATGCAGGGCATCTGAAAATAGACGGTGTGCATGTGGAAAATGTTCCGGTTATTGAGGAACGCGTTGGTGGTTGTGCTGATGAGGCTCGGCGACTGCGCATATGCAAGGGGCGATTTCGGGCTGAAAGAGGATGATAGCCCGGGAATCTACCCCCAATGTAAGCAGCTTTGATCAAATTCGGGGCTACGGACTTGATGTTGGCGGATAGAGAACTTCCTGTCTAGGTGTATGTACGCGCTTCGCCCCAAACGGTTGCCTTTCTTTGTCCTCCAAAATATCGGAATGCATTCCCGCCTCTGTCTGTGCAACAGCAGGATCAGTGCAGCCATGTGTGGACAAAGGGAGCCTTTAAGCAACGCTATCGTCATCGAGGTGTATGTATGTGCATCTGTTGGTTCACTTCTGCACTTCTAATCATCATTGTTGCAATATGGCACACTCTGCAGAGGATTACTATGACATGCCTGTCGAGATGCTGCCGTCTGCAAACTTCGCAGGCCGCCCTACGAGCGACATCAGCATAGGCATGTACGACGGACTCTGGGATTTGGTGTTCTCGCCCTCCTCTTATTCGTCCGAAGACGAAGCCGCAGAAGAAGGCGACGAAGCCGCTCTACAACAACGGACCCCACCGAGATCACCTCCTTCGCCGACTCAATTAGAGTCGCCAGTAAGACCAACAATCAGAGTAACGTCACCGACGCTCAGATATGAGCAGAGACTATGGAGAGAAAGCCGGGCCAACGATGAGAGCATGATAGATCGGCCACGGTTGAGGAAGAAGTCCCAGACAGCACCTCCCGGCGGCTTTGAAGCACAGGCTACACCACCCCTGGAGCCACGGCGAGCAATCAGTGTAAGGTTGAGCTACTCGAACACAATAAGGAGAAGGCGACCGAAGTCGGATGAGGGGTTTGCGAACTGCTTGGACACCAGGAAGGTCTCCAGGGACGGGCGATTGGGACCACGCAAGGCATTGCCGAAACCACCATCATGCCAGGATAACGAGGCGACACCTCATCGTACGACGCGTGCTCTCGGCTTCTTTCCCGAGAAATCACGAGTGCAGCAGACTGTGAAACACAAGCAGCTTGGAACGCTAAACACTCTGAATACTGCTTTGGCGGACTTTGAGTCGAAGAGATTACCTACCTCGCCAAGCTCGATGCTAGAAACACCACGAGAATGTTACGCAACACCACCAGAGCGGCTTGGGACAAGTGAAACCTCAGGTAGCCCACGCTCATCTCGCTCGTGGGGTCGGAAGTCAGTCCGGTCTGTCAGACCTATTGCTCATACAACCCACTCGCCCTCCTCCGCACGGCCAAACGTAGAAGCCCACCATACGCTAAAGCGCAAACACCAACGTGGAGATGTTGACGCGGCTGAACGGCGGAGAGTTTATCTACCCGGGGCCATCATGCTGGCAGAGCATCCAGCTAAGCTTCGCAGAGATTCTGTCGCAACGCTTGACCCATTTACGTTTGACCCCAAACTAGACTCGCCAGGAAGGCGAACATCGGATTCCGCAGGGCTGGATAGTATAGTAATCTTTTTCGAGGAGTTTGGTGTGGTCGCAAAGGTTACTGAAGCCACCTTTGACCAGTATTGGCTACGACAAAGTCTAAAGATGAGCGACGCCATGGATGAAGAGATGGAGGACTTTGTCGCCCGCAAGGCAAGCGTATCAAGCGTGAGGGAGGTAGGGCCAATGGGTCCCCGTGTCACACAAGGTCCTCCCGGGTTGAAGTCCTCGTTCTCGTCCGCGTCATCTGTGGTTTCTATGCACCCACCAGAAAAACGTAAGCGGAGCAGGCTGCGAGGACTGCTATCACCAGGCCTTCCTGGCGCAGCCTTTCTCAAGTCCCCTGCAGGCCGCGGACAGCAGATGGAAAGTTCATGACCAAGATAGCAATAGTGTAGATTGGATCAATCAAACCTTAGGGAGATGAGCCGCGTGTCACGATTCAGGCCGGGGTACCTGGGTACCTGGGGTGATGCTCTGCCAAGGTGTGATCGCGATGAGGTGCCATCCTGAACGGGTAGTTCACGACACATGGGCTGGCGGTTGCCAGTATGGGAGACGATCATTGAGCCTGGACTCTTCTTCTGCTGACATGTCTAACGCGAGGAAGAAAATTGATGGCGATCCGCCGTTTCCGCATTTCGCGTACCCATGGGCGATGACGACTGATGGCTGGCGATTCAGCCGTGCGGTAGACGCTTTGGGAATAAGACGGACATTGGCGCGGCGCCAGAGGAAAAACGTGTGGGTGACGCCTCTGCCACTGACAGCACAGTTTGCCAAATGCGAATGGACGCATGAAACCTGGTGGTCCCTCACCGAGTGTGGGTTCACGATAGGGTAGCACTGGGGAGTCCCCAGGATCGAGTGGCCAGGGCCACGGTGTTGGCTTCCGTGTGTCAAAAGTGAGGCAGCGAATGAAAATTGCTTCCGCCCCTTTATGTCCAATGAAACGCCAGACGGATGGCATCGATCGCCAGCGAGGATAGCCCTTCTGAGCTCACCTTGGCCCTTCGTCCACCGCTCAGCGCGGGCCGCATTCGTCAGACGCTCTCTGACACGAGCCAGCGCATCGCTCGTCCCCCATGCACCCAGGTGGTGCTAAA